ATGCACCATCAGACTACCCATAGACACTGTATCAATGAGAGTTTTTGCATAGGAATCAGAGACTGGACAGTGTTCATTCATTTATGAATCCCCTTTCATTCAATAGAAACGTAATCTAGCTCTCCTTGCTGATTCTTCAAACATATTCTGCCATATCAGGCAGCTTTCAAACACTGTGTTTTTGTGTTGTTGTATTTTCTGGGTTGAATCCTTGAATCCTTTGAAGGCTTCTGTTACAGATTTCTACCGCAGTGCTCAATCTCCAGTGGAGAATATGTTTAATTATTTCCCCAGTTTTCCTAGCCTAGCCACATATCTATCAGCTTTTCAACTGCACCATTTTCCCCCTCCAAGTACATGCTACAAATCAAAGCAACCCTGCAGGAGTGTGAGAGATTTGGTTGAAAACAGAGCAGGCAAATCCTCAAGAATGTATGGGAAATACTATATTTACTTTCCTATGAATGATTGCCAACAATTTTGTTTGTTTGTTTGATATAACCAAGTTGTTCAAAAGTTGATATAGGTGTCTCAGTGGGCAGTTGTTTCCAAAGAATGAGTGATTTGTTAAGACCTTGTTGTTCAAGGACTGTACACTTCCAGCTCTACATGTTAAGAACTACAGTGACCAAGGTCTCCAAAAGGATTGTCTTCATCATGGTCTTTGTGCATAATTTTTCTGGATTTTGTACCTGCACGGGAACCTATTTAGGAAAACCCCAAAGCTAATTTGAATAACTATTTATTGTGTTCCTCCACCTATTTGCTAGGCCATAGTCCTTCTCATCTGCTAACTAGAATGGAATGAATTATGCCTGTTAAATGTGTTATATTTGCTTTTTATGCAACTTCTATATTATTGTTTTTTATTGTATTCTTTTATTTTTATGCTTGTAACCCATCTTGATTCCCTTTGGAAATAGGCGGGCTAGAAATAAATCATATTATTATTATTATTATTATTATTATTATTATTATTATTATTATTATTACATGTTGACCTTAAGACCCAAAAGACCACCTAAATGTCCATGTAAAGTATGAAACAGGCAGCTTGCAGTAAGTTAATGATATTGGCTGATACACCAGTTTATTTTAATTTGTAGTTATGGGCATGTTTAAAAATAATTTCTTTGGAGTTTGGCTACAGTATTTAGAAAATGCCATTACCATAATAACAAACCCACCCATCTGTGCTTTCAGTCTCCCAGCAGGATGTTTTGCTGGCAAGTTGATGACATTTTAAAAACAAACAAACATTTCTTCAGTAGTGTCAGCAGTCAAGCGCATTGCTTTGCACTTTGGAATGTACTTAAGATGCATCTAAAATAATTATTCTTAGACCATGCCTAGGATGCTGTTAAGAATAGTTGAGAAATAAAATTTTAGGAATTGGCAACATGGTGAATACTGAAAATGTAACTAGCATGCTCAGATTAATTTCTTTTTTACCCTTGGGTCAGGCATTACATGTTTTCACACTGTTCTTCCATATGCCTATTATTGTTTTGTCCTTTGCCCTTATTCCAGTCCAGAATGCAAACAGTTCAATTGATGGCAGTCTGCCACTATGGTGAAAGTAGCATTAGTAAATATATATAGGGGGCTTAAATCTAGGGTGTGGATCCATGGCCCACCTGTGGTTCCCATAGTCACCCCTCCGTTTTTGCTGGGGATCCGTTCAGGATACCCCCCCCTGCGAAAATGGAAACTCACCAATATTCAAGCCCCATTGGCTTGAATGGCTGCGCACTCTTGCACACAGCCCTGTCATTTTAGTCAATGGGGCTTGCCCCTATGCAAAGAACTAAGACTGCAGCTTCAAGTCTGTGAAAACGGAGGGGTGAGTGTAATTTCAGCTGAGAAAGAATTGCTGTACCTGGAATCCCCAAGAAGTTGAGAAGTTTGTTTAAAACCAGTGTGATTCCATCCTCATACCCAACACCTCTCCTCCAGATTGTTACCAAAAAAGAGGGGGGGCGGGAGTCAAGCTTCTAGTTGGGAGGTACAACCTGTAGTAAAATTGGCCCTATTCTCTGGAGTTAGCCCATCCCAATCTAAATGACTTTCCAGAAGGTCTAATTTATGTAACATTTCTGCTCTTGATGTATTTTCAGGTCCTTATGGATGTTGCAAAGAAGCTTGGGATCAAGTGCCACTCAAAGGGGACAGTAATCACAATTGAGGGACCACGTTTTAGCTCTCGGGCAGAGAGCCTAATGTTTCGCAGCTGGGGTGGTGATGTTATCAATATGACTACAGTTCCTGAAGTGATTCTTGCAAAGGAAGCTGGAATCTGCTATGCAAGTATTGCTATGGCAACAGATTATGACTGCTGGAAAGAACATGAAGAAAGTGTGAGTAGAATGCAGTTAACTTTTGGAACATGCATATTCTTATTGCTATTTTAGATGGTATTTGGTATCAATGTTAGGGGGGTTGCAGACTGCCAGAAATAGTGCAAATTGAGTCC